CCCCCCCCCCCCCACCGCTCCCGTTGAGGTCCTCTGGTTAAAGCGTGTGTAATGACGAGGCAAACGTCTGGGCTGCAGTGCTGGATACGAAACAGGATTCGAAACTGCACATGGAGTATGATCCCAATCTTGTTGACAGTGATAACAGGTGTGGGAGGGTGATGTGTGTTATCTATGCATAGGAAGTAAGACTAGAGAGACTAAAATGTCAGCTGTGGTCACGACAGGCAGTGAAATATTAATGGTGTTTTTTTATTCTTTATCCTTTTCCATGTTTTCTGAGTTTCCTGCATGCACGGGAGTCAATTTTCTAACCAGAAAGAACAATTAAGATGCACGTTGCAGGTGGTTTTCCTGCCGGGGCCCCTCCGCCCTGAGGGCGCTCTCTCCTGCGGGCTCTGCCGGGGACTGTCTCCAGCAGGTCAGCACAGACCAGCACCTGCTCAGGCACTGTCGCCCTCCTTGCTTGCAGGAGCCATCCCTGCCCCACCCTGGGCAGCCACTGACCAAGCCCCTGACCCGGCTGGTCGGGGAGAACCCTCAGCATGCCCTGGATATCAACAAGGTGGTGAGTGGCACATCGGGGAGGGGACGGGGTGAGCCGGGCCCCTGGCTCCTAGGTGCTGGCTGAGCACAAGGGAGGTCTGCACATCCTGCACTCGTCCCCGCTCTGTGTCTACAGCTGCTGCGGCTCCTGGGGGACGGGTCCCTGCCCTCCTGGCAGGAGCAGACCATGGGCGAATACCTGGTGCGACAGGGGCAGCGCCGACCAGGGCTGCGGGACGAGATCTTCAGCCAGCTCGTGGCCCAGATCTGGCACAACCCGGACGAGCAGCAGAGCCAGCGCAGCTGGGCCCTCATGGCCATGCTGCTCAGCGCCTTTCCCCCAATGCCCACCCTGCAGAAGCCGCTGCTCAAGTAAGGGGCCTGCCACGCGGGGGCCCAGTGACCGGGGTCGGTGGGCTGCCCACCTCCACAGCAGCCGCGTGCTGTCCCCACAGGTTTGTGTCCGACCAGGCCCCCACAGGCATGGCGGCACTGTGCCAGCACAAGCTCCTGGGGGCCCTGGAGCAGACGCGGCTGGCCCCCGGGACGGCACGCGCCCACCCGCCCACCCAGCTCGAGTGGACAGCCGGACGGCGGCGGGGCCGCATGGCACTGGACGTCTTTACGTTCAATGGTGATGCTCACCTTCCGCTCTCCAGCGGCACCTCCTGTGACCCTGATCTCCCTTCTGTCCTGCTCCTGGAAGCCCCGTGGGGACAGCAGCCCCTTCCTGTCAGGGAGGACCTGCTGCCGCTCACGCGGGCCCCCCACCCCTTGTCCCTGCAGAGGAGTGCTACTCAGCCGAGGTGGAGTCCTGGACCACGGGGGAGCAGTTTGCTGGGTCTATTCTGCAGAGCAGGTACCGGGGCCCGGGGTGGGGAGTGTGGCCAACGCTGACCACTGTCCCATCCTCCTGTGTCCCGCCAGGTGCCTCCTGCAAACCCAGGGCCAGAGCCTGCTCCCCCGAGGAGTGAGGCTGGGTGGGGGTGGGGACATGGAGGGGTAAGTGGGCTCCATAAATAAATGAGCACGTCAGAGCCGATGTAGAGGTAGAAGGCTGTGAGGTGCAAATGAAGGAGAGCCGTCTGAGGAAACCGGTTCCTAACCCGGGTTCCGCCAGCCACCTCCGCTTGGCCCACACTCAGGTCCTTGCCCCTTCCCCGGGGGGGTCGTCTTCCTGGCTGACCACTGCCTCGGTCCTTCCCAGAGGGCTGGAGGTGCCCCCCCGTGGCTGGTCCGTGTCACTGCACTCCAGGGATTCCTGGCAGGATTTGGCTGGCTGTGACTTCGTGCTGGACCTCATCGGCCAGACTGAGGACCTGGGGGACCCCGTCAGTCCTCGCAGCTACCCCATTGCCCCCCGTGGCTTGTAGGTGC